GCAGACCCGTGTGCCTCTCAGTGGCTCAGGAGGCTGCGGCAGGAGAATCGCAAGTTCAAGGTCAACCTAGCCAATGAATAAAAAAATGAATAAATAAAAAATAAAAAGGGCAGAGATGTGGCTTGGTGTGAACGTCCTGGATTCAGTCCCCAGTACAGCCCTCCGACATGCACGGACACAGGCGGTCATGGGTGGACACACGTGCACAGACACACACACACGCACATGCACACACGCACATGCACTCAGGCAATCTCAGTCTGCCCTGATGTTTTCTGTGTGCATAGAGGAGACTCCCAGGAACACTGGAAGTTAAGCTGGTCCTCTGCTCAATGGGGGGAGCAGAGCATGGTGGTGCACACTTATAATCCCAGCACTCTGGGAGGCTGAGGCAGGTGGGTTGCAAGTTGGAGCCCACACTGGCCAACTTGGTGACTTAATGAGACCCTGTCCCAAAATACGGATAAAAAGGGCTGGAGATCTGGGGATGTTTCTCAGTGCAGAGGCCCTGGGCTCAATCCCTACTACTGGAATAGAAAAGCATATGGGGAGGAGGGAAGGGTGCACCTTAAAGAGATTCAGGGGAACCTGGTGATAGGATTGTTCTATATCTTGATTGAGGTGTGATTATTTAATCACATATGTTTGTCACAATTTGCAAAACTAAAGCCAGGCAAGGTGGTGTGTGTAGTCCCAACCACTGGAGAAGCTGAGGCAGGAGAATCACTTGAGCCCAAGTGTTTAAGACCAGTGTGGGCAACACAGCAATACCCCATCTCAAAACAAAAACATGAAGAAAACTCTTCAAAATTATAAAGGGTAGATTTTTATCTTAAAGAATTTTAAAAATTCAAGCATACAAAAAACCTGAGATAACACCCATGTTTTAAGAATTCAGCCAGGACACTAGGCATCAACTTGGGATGTCCCAGGCAAGCAGAGACATACAATAATTACCAGGAAGTCCTAACACAGCCTTGTCTGTGATGCATGTTCAACAAATAGCTGTTGATTGAAAAGGAAAAGCCCTTGAAGACATTTACCATGCAGAGCCCAGGTCTCATGTCCAATTAGTCTCAGGTTTGGGCTGGGAACCTGCATTTGTAACAAGTTCCTGGTGGACAGCTTCTGGGATGCTAAGTGGGAATCCCAGCCCTTCCTCCCGAAATACAGGGCTCTGAGCAGCCCTGAGCACCAGCCCCAGCCATCTCTGCCTCGGATTATTTCCTCTGAACATTCGCATCTCCATGGCCCTCCCTCCTCCCTGCACCTCGGTTCTTATTGTCCAAATGCACGCAGTTCCTCCACACTTATGTCTGTCTACTGAGCTTTGCTGTGGATGGAGGCCATGTGAAGATTCTCCCTGGAGCATACAGCAGACCTTCCAGGACCCAGGGTCACAGACAGGACTTGCATTTGGAAGCTGGCACTGCCCCGCCCAAATGTCCACGCTCTCTTTAACAGAAAAGGAGGTGGGAGGGTGCAGACACAGCACTCAAGAGGAGGAAACATGTCGATAAAATCAGGTATTGGTCTTATTACCACAGATTCTGTTCACTGTCTCAGCCCAGCCCTGGCTGCAGAGCTCTGACCTAGGCAGGAGTCAGAACTCAGATCCCGGGGCAAGAGTCCATTCCAGGCCGCGCCGTCAGGACCTTGGACAGCGGCTCCGCGGCAGGGATGGGGTGGGGGTGAGGGGGTTACCTCACTGCCAGTCTCTTTCATTTCCTTTCTCTCTCCTCCTTCCCTCCTTTTTCCTTTTTCTTTTCTCTCTTCTTTCCTTTCCTTTTGTTTTCTTTCAGCCAGTGCTGGGGATTGAACCTAGGGTCTTCACACTGGCCTCCACTTTTCCTGAGAGAAGGTCTTGCTAAGTTGCCAGGCTCGGTTCCAGCTTGTCATCCTCCTGCCTCAACCTTCCAGAGTGCTGGAATTACAGCACCACTAAGCCAGGCTACTAATATCCTTCTGACCACACCTTTGCTTTTCAGGGAAGTCAGCAGCTGCGTCTGGGGAGGGCTGACCAGTTGGCAGGAAGAGGCAGCAGAGAGAGTCTGGTGGAGGAAGTGACCCGATGGCTAATCAATCTACTCTCGGGTTTTCCTGTGGCTGCTTCAGCTTGGGGACCCACCCTGGACTTGACCCCAGAAAGGCCAGAGCCTGGCACTGGGGTGGAGACCAGTGGGCCTCCCTAGACAATACCTCCTGTCCTCAGTGGGTTCAAGTGACACAAAGGCTGTTGCTGTGTCCTTGATGCCCTATTTTTTAAACTAAAACTTAGGCTCCAGAAAGAAGTGGCTGTTTGTCTAACTCAGATTAGTAACCAGACAAAACTGAGGGCGGTAATGAGCTCACGACCGACAGACACTTCAGAGCAAGCCGGCTCTCCAAGTGGCTGGGAACTGTTTCCATCTTGTTGACAAACACATGCTGCAAGACAGGAAATTACCCTCCTCAGTGCCTATTTTATCTCTGTTTAATTGCTGCTTGATAATAAATTACAACATAGAGTCCATTAATTAAGCTAACAATGTCCGTGGAACACCAGTCCCTTCTGTTGGGAGCTGTCTGGTTGGAGGGGTTTGGATTCGGTCTCTGTTTGCCCACAGCACTTCCGAAGCTGTTGCACAGGGTGCCAAGGCCTGAGCATAGTGGGGGAGGGCCCCTCGCTCTTCCAGGGGCGCGGGATGGGGAAGGAGGGGTGGTCTTGAGGGGAGGGCAGAGGCCCAGCCTGGCAGCTGGAAGTCCGTGCCAAGGATGTGCTCTAAGTCAGAACATGTGGGCAGCACAGAAAAGAGCATTAGATTTGCGTCAAGCTATCTGCTCATGGAAAGCAATCGGGGCCCACTTCAAGGTGTTCCGCTGGGAGCTGGGGAAAGCCAGGAGCAGACTAATTTGGTTTGTTGTTCCAGAAGTCACGGAATGGCAGGATTTGGAAATGCTCTGTATGCATGTGGAGTTGGGGAAAAACAAATTCTAATTATTTCCCAACAAAGACCCTGGCACTGCACTGTGAATGCTGTGAACACACAGCAGGTAAGGCAACCTGGTGCCTGACTCCAGCCTGTGTCCCCTTCAGTACACCAGCCTCTCCCCACCACCCAGGCTGAGACTCTTTGGGGTGCACTGCTGGCTTTCCACCAGCCTCTTCCAGGACGCTGCCTGCTGGACTGACCCCTTGGGAACAGCTGTGCCCAGTCTAGACGTGCCACCCCATGTCCGCGGCTCCCCAGTGCCCACTGCTCATCCCAGACGCACTTGGGAGCTTGTTAGAAATGCACAGTCTGGGGGGACAGAAGCTCTGGGGTGGCCCGGGTGCCGGGGACTCGCAGCACCCACCTCTCCAGCTCTCTCTTTCCCTATTTCTCAGCTCTAACTTCTCTCTGGCATCCTAAGCCCCAACCAAACTGGGTCACCTTCCAAGTGCCGGTGCCCAGCCCAGGGCCACAGTGACAGTGCTGTAAGTTTCTTGCCTCTTTATTCATCTGTCCTGTTCAAGTGGAAACTGCTAGATGCCAGGACTACATCTTAGCAGCTGCATTTATGCAACTGGGACTATAACGTACAGCAGGTGTCAAGACATGTTTGCTGAGAGGCCGAATGACTGGATGAAAATGTATACTAAAGTTTTCCATCCATTTTGCCTTTCGTGCTCACCCCCAATTCCCAGTGGCGAGCATCAGGGAGAGAAGCAGGTCCAGGGCTCCTAGTCTGGGCTCCAGGCAGCAGGGGCAGGGGCTTCATAAATAAGCTTTAATGATATGGATTTGACTTAAATTTACAATGGGCTGGCTGTGCTGCAGGGCCGGGATTTTAGGTTGCTTTGTTCACAGGCCTTTGCTCTCCCTGCCTCAGTTTCCTCGCCGTGTCTGCCTACCTCCCAGAGTTTCCCCAAGGATCTTGGATTTGCCCAGTGTCCTATCTAGCACTGTCCCTCCACCCTCAGAAGGAGGCTGTGGATCAGGACCGAGGGGACTGCAGCGATGGCAAAAGGACTCAACTCTGCTCCTTCCCAGGCTTGGCCCAACAGGAAGGCAAGACTGTATGAGCACAGGAAATCCATGCAGCTGTGTGTGTGTGTGTGTGTGTGTGTGTGTGTGATGCACGCAGCTGCATTTCAACATGTGTGTCTGTGGAACAGGAGTAAGATGATAGACGGAGCTTGCAGGGCTTCTTCCTTCTGTTACAGAGACCTTGGGAGGGAATCTGCGGGGTTGACTCACAACCAACTCTCTGGGGCTCCCGTGGAATCTAATGTAAACATTTTCACAGTTTGTAGCTCGTCTTTTGTGACTAGTGATTGACATCATCACATTTTAAATTTTCATGAATGTCCAATTTAATGCATTTTGGGAGGTGTTTTCTCCCTACCATACAGAGTTTCTGCTACACTCTTTTTGCACACACACACACACACACACACACACACACAGTGGGCTAGCACTGAGGAGTCAGAGAAAATTGTTTATCAGGGCTTTAGCTCCACTTGCTGATTGTTTTGCCCTTTGCAGGTTAACCTGTGTGTTCTCAAAAATGCTCCTGAGAACTTTCCCCCATTCTCAGAAAGCTTTGTTCTCACACCAGCACTTAGGGTCCAGGTCACACTAACTGCCTGACTGATGCTTTTCCAGCGTGGATTTGGCCAGCAGCTTCTCAGGAGAATCTGCTTATTATTTCTTCCAAGTTGGAAGCAGGTAGGTTTGATTGCAAGGATAGCAACTTCTGTAGCTTCTCTATTAGCAATCGAGTCTGATGCTAATTCACATTTTCCTTTCAATACAAAATACTCACAGTGATCCTCTTCATATTTGTACAGACGTAATCTCTTATTGAATCTTTTCCCTGACTTTTTAAGAGAAATTACCAGAAAGCTCCCACCTTCTTAGAGTCACAGAACAGGTTACAATGATCAAAGTAGAGGGCAATGGAAGTTTCCAGAGGTCCCACAAGGCCCCCGCAGGCTGGTGATTTTGCTCCCTTCCTGGTGAGAGACGAGCTCCTACCTGCGGTCCCCAGCCATGGCATGGGTACAGGATGGCTGTGTGGTTCTCCAGCGGCCCCTGGTCCAAGCAGACATCTTTTGCCTTGTTGTTGCGAAGCTGCAGGAACAGACCAAGAGTCACCATCAGAGGCCATCCAGTGGACACACTGGTTCCCAACCAACTGTCCCAACACACCCTGCTTCTGGCTTCATGATGGGAAGGTCATGCAGCCCCCAAGAAAGGGCTAGCAAAGTCTGTGATCTGATCACTTTGGCAAGAAAGGCGAAGTCCTCCAGGGGGTGGTGTGGCCAGCAGTCCCGTGCATGCCCGAGCCCCCGGCTCCTCTATCCCTAGCATAAAAAGATCTCAGGGAACTCTCAGATCACCCCGACTCAGGTTTAGAGGCAACTAAGAGGGATCAGGGTGGGGACAGATGTACAAAAACATCTTAAGTGGATCTGGACTCCAACACTGGTTTAATAACCCTGCCTGGGAATCAAAGGCATGCAAGGTCATCACTTACAGAGAGGCATGAAAGTGACCCCCCAAAAGCAAACAAGAACCTTGACAGCATCAAAAGCCCTAGCAACACCTTCTTATATATTCAAAAATATTTACAGAGCTGGGCCTGGTGACACACACCTGTAATCCCTGGGCTCTAAGAGGCTGAGGCAGGAGGACTGCAAGTTTGAGCCCACCCTGGGCAACTTAGTGAGATCCTGGAGGAAATAAAGTCCCCACTACAAAAGCCCTGAAGCCTGGTGCATCTCTTTGGGGCTGAGTAAGAACCCAGTTTGGACCTCCAGGCCCACTGCAATTCTGTATTAGAACCTTCCAGCCTACCACCACTCAGCCATCCCAGTGACTGAGGCAAAGGTAATGACGGGGTCCTCTTATATATCTAGTTCCCTCCAGATTCCATCTCCCTTGGTGACCACATTAACCAAGAATAAATCAAGATGACAGGCAAAGGGACACTCCACCCTTTGTGCACTCAAATTGTGTCAAGGCCCAGATGGACTGAGCAGATTTTTAATTGCTTTTAAAATCTTTTTTAAGGTTATCAAAATAACACCATCTCCCTGAGATGTCCTGGAAAATACTGAACAAAATAATGATTGTTCACAATCCTTTCTCATAGTAAGTTAAATTTTTTTCCTGATTTTTGAGCAATTTAGGGATGAATGACTTTATACACAAAGATTCTGTTACAGTTAAGATTTCCTTAAGGAGAGAAATACAACTTTAGAAATGGGGTTACAGGGTCAAAAGATATGAACATAATGTTCTGAAAATGTGCTGTTCACCTGGAAGCTTTGAAGAAATCCATAGTCCCATCCACAAGGTATGTAAGTACTGACCCCTCCTGAGTCTTAGAGTTTTAAAATATTTTTAAGAAAAGAGAGATAGCTGCTTTTAATAAATCTGCTGTTAATAGTATATTGGGCTGTTTTATGTTTAGTAATCATTTCCCTTTTAGAGAATTGACTATTCCCCCACTGGGATCGGTTTTCATTATAGATTTGTAAGGGCTCTTTGTATATTAAGGACGTCAATGGTTTCATGGTGCATTTGTTCCACACAATGACTTCACACTGCTGCGCTTTCAAATTGTATTTCTGATGTTTAATGCAATTACATCTATCATTTAATGGTTTAATAAATATTTAGTGAGAGGATTGGTATGTGCCTGGCACTGTGTTACATTTAACAATCACAGAGGTGAACAAGATCTTCCACGCCCTGTAGTAGTGGGGAGTCTATGGGGACAGATGCACAGGGTGAGGGCATGCAGTGCCTGAGACAGGGCCAGCAAAGAGCCCGTGGGTTGGGATGACTTCTAAGAAGACACGACCCCTGTGCTGAGCATAGAGAGCTGGGCATGGAGGCACATGCCCGTTAATCCCAGTACTCATGAGGCTGAAGCAAGAGTGTCCTCAAGTTCAAGCCCAGCCTGGGCAATTTAGCAACATTGTGAGACCCTGTCTCAAAACAAAGAAACAAAGAAACAAACAAAGCTGAGGGTGTAGTTCAGCATAATGGCCCTGGGTTTAATCCCCAGTAACACAAGAAAAACAAAACAAAACAAAACAAAACAAAACAAAACAAAAACCACGAAAGCGTTGCTGGCCAAACTATTTTTCAGCCAAGTAGTGGCCCAAAGGGTTTTTGGATTAAATTTGCGGTCGTTTTCTACACAGTGCATCTATTTCATCTAAATAAAGGTAAAGGATGAAAATTGAGTAAATGGAGTGCGGCTGGGGCAGTTCAGGCCCCAAGGGCAGGAGGAGATGACCACAGACGTCTACGAAAAGGAGTTGAGGCCCTGAGTCTGCATGGGAAATGCTTCTGCAAGAGGAAAGGCAGCACTGAGTACAGATAAGAGTCAGGATGCAAAGCATTTGCCTTTCATTTTTGTTCTTCCCAGTACTGGGAATTGAACTCAGGGGCTTCACACTGAGCTACATCTCCAGTCCTTTGAAAAAAGTTTTGATTTTGAGACAGGGTCTCACTAAGTTTCCCAGGCTGTCCTCAAACTTGCAGTCCTGCCTCAGCCTCTCTAACAGCTGGGATTACAGGCATGTGTCACAGTGCCCAGCCTGCACGGATTTCTTTAGAAATTGTTTTAAGACATTCCAGCTCCTAGGGTTTGGGTTCCCCCCAAAATCTCAGGGGTGGGGAACCTAACCCCCAAACTCATGCATGAATGGTGTTTGGAGGGGAGGCCTCTGGGAAGTGGGGGGAGGGCCCACGGTGGCCCTGGGGACTTTGTAAGAAGAGGAAGGAGACCTGACGTGCACCTGTGATGCTCTCAGCCAAGGTCTGACCCAGCAGGACACCACTGATCGCAGGTCAGGACCAAGCTGCTGGGCTTCCCAGCCTCCAGCACCATGGGTCAGAGCAAACCCTCCTTCTTCATAAATCATGCAGTCTCTGCTATTTTATTGTAGCAACCGAAAAGGGATGGAGAGCGAACAGAGAGGAACAGAAATTCAAAGGTCCAGATCTTGGATTCATTATCTAAGTAGGTCTGGGATCAGCTGACCCTGCTCTGAATAGTCATCTTCCTGCTCCACTGCACTGGGTTCTGGATATGGCAAAACAAATAATGGTAAACTCTGGTACCAACCTGAATTTTATGAATATCATTACTTTCATTTAATGCTAGCACCCATCTGAAATACAATTTAAGTATATAGTAAGCTCAGCAAGTAGAGAAGCAAGTGTCCTAAAACGTTACCAGGGATTATATCTGGTAATTGGGATTTGGAAGGTTTTGTTTCCATCTCTGAATTTCCCATAGCATGTGTAGATTGAATTTATTGTTTAAATATAGGAAAAAGTGCTAAAAGGAAAGGCTTGCCCTTTATGAAATATCAGACTATGATCTCTGTCATTTCCAAGGCTACCCCACTACAGCTCCAAGGGCATCACTGTTACTATGGCTAATGTGAATGGCACCTTCAGAGTTATGCAGTGTGCTGACTGTGCAGCTGTGCATAGCAGCCCTAGCTAGGTTCTACTATCTTCTCATTTTTAATGTCATTTTTAACAATGACTTTTCTTCTAATTATGAAATCATCAAAACAGTGAAAATTGTATCCATGTAAAAAATCCCTGCGGCTCCCCTACTAGAGGCAACTGTAATACCATCTCTTTTTTCTCCTGTTACTCTCTTGCTCCTGATCTAACTTAGTGGCTAATCTAGTTTTTTTTATCATCCTGCTTTCTTCCTCCTCAGCATTATAGAATCAATATTTTTCTCACGTTATTAAAATTTTGTACACACTATTTGTAACGGCTGCAAAATTGTTCAAGCTATGAATATATTATCTTTAACTAATCTTCAAGTTAAATTAACAAATTTTTGCTCCAAAAAATAAAATCACTCAGATGAACAATTTTACTCTCACATCTATGTCCCTATTTCAAGTTATTTTTGTGGGAAAAGAGTGGAGAAGAAAGTATGACTATCGTTAAGCTTTTTAATACATGTGGTTCAAATTGCTTTTTAAAAAGCTTGTTTCAATTTGTATTCTCACCGGAGGATATGTGACTTTTCATTTTACCAAGACCTTGACAGCAAAGTAGGAACATTCGTTCCAAATACTAAATCTTTATTCATTTGTTAGGTTGAAAAACAGCTACCTCAATATATTTAAAAACTTAGTTTCTCTGATAATAAAATGAATCAAAAACTCTCCTGTATTTTTCAATCATTTGTATTCTCTCTGTGTAACTGGCCTTCCTTGTATTTTGTCTATTTTTCTTTGGGAGTGTTTTATTTTATTATTTTAACTATTTTTTTTATTTAAGTCACTTTGCAGAGCTCATTATACATGAATGAGTGTTATTCATTTCCCCATAGGATTTCTGGCATACATATTTCCTGTCTGACCTATTTTCATTCCCCTATTCAGTTGATGTATAGGTTATTTTGCTATTCATGAGCTCAGATCCATTTTCTGTTTTCCTTCCACCACTTTCATTCTTAAAAAGTCCATGTCTCTCTGGAGATCAGATTCATCTCTATTTCCACATGGTTTTTTAATGGTTTCTTTTCTTTCATTTGAGGTGGTAGTCCATCTGAGACGTACTTTGGTATATGATGAGCTGTAAGAATCTAAATTGACTTCTTTTCCAAAGAGCTGGGCAATTTATCCAATTGTCTTAGGAATAATCCATTCCCAGCCTCTCATTTTTGATGCCTCTTTTACATCTGATCTTACTTTGATAACCAAAAAATAATAATACATACCTTTATTTTGAAGAAGAAAAGACGAGTCATTTAAGACTTATTAATCACTCCTGCTGTGTGCCAGGAACTGTTCTCAGAACTCAACACAGTGCGCTGAGTTTTCCTCCCATCAACCCTAGGCTGCAGATGCTTTAATCTCTCTCATTTTACAGATGAAGGGATGGAAGCCCAAAGGAGCCACACAACTGGTAACAACCCACTAGGATCTGAATTGAATGGGCTGGTTCCAGAGTTCTCCCATGTCCCTGTTAGACACTGTCCCTGCCAGAAGTGAGCATCTAGCTCAAGAGGGTTGGCCTCCTAATCCAATGCTGGTGATTAACCTGTGGCTGACTTTCTATCTAGGGCGTTGGGCAGAGAACAGGAAAATTCATAGTTGGAGAAAAACGTTAAGTGCTACATTAAAGGAAGACTGTTTACTTTTATCCTGGTAGTCACTAGGGAGGCCCAGGCAGCTCTGGGAAGGAAATTAAATTGTGGCACTGGGCTGTGTCTCGGCTTGGCCAAGAGCCCTGGGCTCCCTGCCCCTTGTCCCGACTGGGTGTTATGGATGTTGCTTGCAGTCACCAGAAGGAAGTAATGAGGTAAATGCACAAATGTTTACATAGATGGATGCTCTCAGCAATGGTACTTAGGATTTTGTCAAAATGGAATCCATGCGAATGTCTAGGTTCTCAAACAAAGCACAGTTCATGCAAAACACAGAATCCTGTGCGGCCTTAATAGTGCTGCAGGAAGAGTGGTAATGACACAGGAAAATATCCTCCATATGTCATTGAGTAAAATTTCAAATTTTTAGGTATTATGGACAGCACTGTGTTAGTAAAAATATACCCAAATATACACACAATAAAGAAGACAATATATCAAAGGGCACATATTATCTTTGGTGTCAAAATGCCTATATCCAATCCTGGCCTCATGAATTATAAGCTCTGTGACCTTAGATAAGTTATACAATTTAAGTTGCCACTTTCTTATCAATAAAATGGAAATAACACTACTGTCTCATAAGGTGAAGGTGAAATGAATATGTATATGAAAAATGCTCAGAACTGGTGCCTGGCCTCTTGGAAATATTTAATAAATGTTCATGGTTATTATAATCTATTATTATTATTATTAGGAAAATTTTCTAAAATGCATAGTTATGGTATTTGTAATAAGGAAAAAATTGATTTGTTTTAATGAAAGGTCAGATGATCCCATCCTAGAGAACCTGAGAAGATTCTTTCTTGTCTGCCTTCTCTGCTGTTAAGTGGCTTTGGTCACAGCACTGGGCTGAGGAGGATGCCAGTTCCTGTTTCTGTTTATGACCAGCTTCCTGCTCAGTGTCTCCACTTACAGCTCCCAGAGGACCTCAATGTCAAAATGTCTCCAACAGGGCTCATCAGGGTCACCACAGCCTTTTGTTCCTCACACTCTTGCTAGCCACAGAGATCCTCTTCACTGGATATTTGGGTGGGTGGATGGTTGGAAGGATGAGTGGGTGGATGGATGGATGGATGGGTGGGTAGATGGATGGATGGATGGTTGGATGGGTGGGTGGATGGGTGGGTGGAAGGATGAGTGGTTGGATGGATGAGTGGGTGGATGGGTGGGTGGAAGGATGAGTGAGTGGTTGGATGGATGAGTGGGTGGATGGGTGGGTGGATGGATGGATGGATGAGTGGGTGGATGGGTGGATGGATGGATGGGTGGGTGGAAGGATGAGTGGGTGGATGGATGAGTGGTTGGATGGATGAGTGGGTAGATGGGTGGGTGGACAGATGGATGGATGGATGGATGAGTGGGTGGATGGGTGGATGGATGAGTGGGTGGATGGATGGATGGATGAGTGGGTGGATGGATGAGTAGGTGGATGGGTGGATGGATGGATGGATGGGTGGTTGGGTGGAAGGATGAGTGGGTGGATGGATGGTTGGATGGATGAGTGGGTAGATGGGTGGGTGGATGGATGGGTGGGTGGATGGATGGGTGGATAGGTGGAAGGATGAGTGTGTGGATGGATGGTTGGATGGATGAGTGTGTGGATGGGTGCATGGATGGGTGGGTGGGTGGGTGGATGGATGGATAGGTGGATGGATGGATGGATGAGTGAGTGGACGGGTGGATGGATGGGTGGGTGGATGGATGGATGGGTGGATGGATGTAAAAATGAATGGCTTTATTCTCCCACAGCAAATCACTCCACAGAGTTTGCACATCAAACCCAGCCTATAGCAGGCATGGTCTGAATTACCTCTCCGTAAGCAATGGTGTTATTGTATCTTCTCATTTCTGGGTAGACATGGTCCAGGTACCACTGGAAATTCTTACACTTCAGACTTTTCCTTAATGCTCTTCTTTCAGAGACATCGCCTATGTCAATCCCCGGATTCTGGAAGCAGAGGGAAGCAAGGGGCGTGAGTGGTTGTGGGACTCTGGCTGGAGCAGGCACGGGTGGGGTCCCTTCCAGAGGTCGCGAGCCTAAGGACTTACTGAGAGGGTCATCTAAGGAGACAAACTTGGTCACCTAGACCGGGGCTACAGAATCTTCTCTCCTGAGTGCACCCAGGTCCCTGCAGCATGATGTCCCCAGAGTAGTCACCGTCTTTGTCATTATGGGGCAAAGGGTTCCCAAGACCTTCACTTTGACATCTCCAGCTCCCTCTCTCCCACATTTCCTCAGTAGTCATCAGAGCCAATGATTAGAGGAATTATTTGATTAAGACAAGAAAATAAATGCTTATAACATCCTCCTGCCTTTCTTTCCTATACATGCGTAATTTCCCTCTTTGTTGGCTCTCTGTGAAGTTCATTACATGCAGAAGGGAAAATAATTTTCCATTGCAAAGCTTGTAATGATGTTCTAATGAATAATTCACTCTGCTTTTACAGAAATGAACCTGTAATGGGCTGCTGTGTGCTGACAGGGGGAAATAAAGTATCTGAAATATGACTCCGCGGGCTCAGCCACAAGATGGCTGAGAATAAATGGAGAGGATTCTCACTGGGCATGGGGTCAGCCTGGTGACATCTAGGGGAGTGGGAACAGTAGTTCAAATTATTTCATTATGATTTCTTCAGCAGCCAGATTGTGATTTTTGAAAAAGGAAAACAGATTCCTTTAAATGTTATACTTAATAAAATTCAAAAGAAAACCCAAACAGCAATATATAACTCTTTGGTTGAATATTTTTAGCATGGATAATGAAAACGGTAACTTTTGAGAAGCATGGTTGATATCATCTGGCTTAGGGACTAGTGACATTACTGTAACCCAGTAGTGTCCCCCTCTGACTGTGGTTTTTGCTTTCTGTGGTTTTAGTTATCCCAAATCAACCAGAGCCTAAAAACATTGAATGGAAAATTCCAGGAAGAAACAACGTCCAAGTTTTAAGTAACTTTTATCACAGTATATTGTTATAACAGTTCTATTTTATTTTGTTATTATTAATCTCATCTGTGTCTAATTTGTAAATAAAACATCTTCATAGGTAGAGATGTATAGGAAAAAATAGTGGAACAGTAAAATAGGTGAGTAGGTCTTATCTGAAATACTTGGGACCAGCAGTGCTTTGGAGTTAGGATTTTTTCAGGTCAAGGAATATTTGCAGAAACTCCACTGGAGGAGCATCCTGCTGTAAAAGTCTACAGTGATGTTCTCACGGATAATCTACTCTGCTTTCACAGAGCGAACCCAAACTGCACATCAAACTGCCGCTCATCAGGATGCGTGGCCTGTGCAGGACCAGAAGTCACGGGGCCAGAGCCAGGAGATTCAGCTCTTGAGACCTCTGGACACAGCATCCTTTCCGGGTCATGACTGGTCCTCTACCAGGCAGGAATAATGGTGGCACCTGCTCTGCTGACTCCACACGGAGGTGGGAGGGTCTCATGAAGATGTCATTTCACATCGCTGCCCATGTGCTATGTGTAGGACCTGAAACAAGTCCCTTTAACCTCTCAGACTCTCAGTTTCCTCATCTGTAAAATGGACATCATAATAGCCTCATATTCCGGTAGCATTTATTGAGCATTTAATATTGCTAAGCTCTATTTTGAGCTTAATTTTATCTTCAAAGGAGCCCTACAAGTTAACTATCAACAATCCACGCTTTTACCGGAGGAAAATGAGGCAGAAGGTTCCTCTGTCATGAGACTGTCATGAGAATTAAATGAGGAACATAGTAAGTGCTCAACAAATGTTACCTATCTTTATATAATAAAAAGGTGTAAAAGCACTTCTAGATTAACAGCTTTAAGTGCTGTGAGAGACCTTTAAGTTCTTTAGGATGCATTTCACAAGTTGTAACAACAATGGTATACATTCTTCACTTTTATCCTTTTACACATAATTCTTGCATACCTTCAACACATTTCCACTGTTCTGGGATCTATCTCCTTAAACACAAAGGCTGCTGTCTGCTGGTGAGCAACCATCCCAGGAAAATTTCTTAGGGCAAAGCTCAGACACCTCCAGGGGTTCTGGCCAAGGAAACAGCCCAGATGTGGCTGAGAGTGCAGGTCACTTCCCCACTATGCAGGTTGAGAGGCAGTGCATGCTGTGCCAGAGCCTGCTCTGAGCATGTCATGGGTACTAGCCCATTTAGTTCTCATGGTTATCCCAGGAAGGAAGACCTGCTGTTGTCCCCATTTTATAGCTGAGAACTCAAAGCTACGGGGATCACGAGTGGATTTGGTCAAGATCTCCTTAGTAGTGAGCAACAGATCTGGGATTCAAGCCATGCGCAATGACTGTGTTGTCCCTGTGGGGCTGCAGTCACAGGGGAATGTTCCCTGGCGTAGTCTGAGCAGAATGTGGAGGGAGGGAGGTGGGGAGACAAAAGATTCAGCTGGGGGCAGGGCAAGGCAGGGCAGCTGGAGCAGGAGACGCCACGCAGTGAGAGCGGATGAGGGGTCTGGTGCCAAAAACTCTGGCAAGGACATTCTGGACACAATGTATGTTCGGGAGAAGGCAGCTAGATTAGTATAATAAAGCTGGAATTAGCAAAATAAGATGCTTCTAATCTTAATAAACAGATTTGAGGTTTTTGTTATACCTGACTCAGTGTAAAGCAAGGGATCTAAAATTCTATCCATGAATCTCCCAAAATGCATTCAGAACTTTTGAAGAATGAACATCTATTTGGGGAAAGAAGCTTATTGAAAGGACCTGTGGCTGGGAGTGGTGGCAGATGACTATAATTCCAGCAACCTGGGAGGCTGAGGCAGGAGGGTAGCAAGGTGGAGCCCAGCCCAGACAAGCTAGTGCCTCAGCAAGACTCTGATTTAAAACAAAATAAAATAAAACAAAGGTTTCCAAGGCACTGAGTTCAATCCCCAGAACCACAAATACAAATAAATACAAGTTTAGAAACTAAATTAATTTAAAAATACAAACTAAACAAAAGGATCTGTGACCTGCCAAACAGTAAAGTTCACTGCTCTTGGGTGCTGGGGAAAGGCTGCTGGGTCCTACCTCCAGCGGCAGGTTCCACGCGATGTACACATGAGACTTGTAATCATCCATCCAGACCTCCGCAACCCGGAGAGCATTTCTCTTGGTGTAGAAGCCAATGTTGCTGTTGTATGGCTTCTTCTTCCGCTCAATGTGGGCCACGCGTGAGCAAGGAAGGACCTCCATGCTGCCCCCACAAAGCCACACCTGGAGACACAAAGACTCCATCAGCTTGGCAGAGAAATTCCCAGAGGCCACTGCCTACCCTGAGGCCCAAAGGCAACAATGCAGCCAACATAGCACAAATGAGAAATGCATTTTTATATACAAAGACACTGAGATATCAAGGTTGGTTTGTTGTAGCAGTGTAGCTTAACTTGACCTGACTAAAGCACATGGAAAAGGTGTTTTGGGAGAATTACTATAGACATACTAGCTCAGGATATAAATCCAGGTCTGGGTAAGAAAGCCTTATAAACCAAAGTGCCCAGTGTGACACATGGATGTTCTTAAGTTCTCAATAGTGCACAATTGCATCTGTAAACATTTTCTTTCCCATCTGGCTGAAACTGCGTCCTGCCAACCAAGCACAGAAATTCATACTAAAGACAAGACCCTCTTTATTCATATCAACACCAAGTATGTACATTGGTCTAGTTCTGTATTGTTAACGTGCTTTATTTTGGAGATTTAAGGGCACTGACACCAATCCTTCTGGAAGCATCAGATCCAGTGTCACCATAAACAGGTATCACTTGCTGTTACTGGAACATTCTGATGGCAGGAGGAAATGATGCTTGCTTTTGAGCAATGCAACAGCTCAAGGAAGTGGGGCTTATCATCCTTTGCATCCATGATAAGAAAGCCTTTCTCTAAGGGTAAAGCTGAACCACCCAACTTGTGCTTCTGATGGGAAAAACAAAGCATTTCTGGCTAGCAAGAAGGTTATATTTGGAAAATGAGCTTCCTAGTACCAGTAGAGCAAAGAAGAAGAAGAAAACTTAGAGCAGTGCAGGGACCTGCGAGACTGCCCTGCTGTGGGGGTGCTGTGTCTGCACGAGGGACAGTTTACTGCTGAGCTGACTCACACAGGCACAAACAATGTATGCTAGGCCCAAGTTGGGTCACTGTAGGCCCTGTAACCTTTGGTCTCCTGGAATCAAGCACATCAAAGGTATCCTTCTCTGGACCTTTGTTGATTGAATTAGATGGACAATCGGGGTGTGTGTGTGTGTGTGTGTGTGTGTGTGTGTGTGGTGTGTGTATCTCCTGTTTCTACTTCCCACTTAAGGTACACCACAGGAAAATAATACAGATGGAAAATTCTCCCATATGTAAGAATTCTGATATTTCTTCTTCAAGGAGGAGAATCTAAGCGAAGAGAATAGTAGAGAGTGGGTGGTCCTGAGAGGTTGATCTGGAACCCCACAACTAGTTATCTCCACATGTTGGGACAGAAACAGCTACTGGCAGTGGGAGAATGTCAAGTCAGGAAGGCAAAACATGGCAAAAAGGCCTGTGGGAAACAAAGGCAAGAAACATGTCTTAGAAGGTGCAAGATAGCTGAAGTTCAAAGGTAGTACAAAAATACCAGGTTTCACAGGGATACTGCAAAATTTAGAGGATGAATAGAAAGACATCCCATGTTCATGGATTAGAAGACCTATATTGTTAAGATCACCATACTCCTCTAATGGATATAAAGATTCAACACAATTCTTATCAAAATCCCAGCCAGTTTCTTTGCAGAAATTAACATGCTGCTCCTAAAATTCATATGGAAATACAAGTGGCCCTAAATAGCTAAGACAATGTTGAACAAAATTAGGTAACTTCACTTGAAACTTTAAAACTTAACACAAAACTGCCAAAATCAAGACAATGCAGAACTGGCATAAGAGCAGACAAATAGACCAATAGAATAGAGAAAAGAGTCCAGAAATAAACTCTCACATTCATGGTCAACTGATACTGGAAAAGAGTGTCAAGACAATTCAATGCAAAAAAGAATAGTTTTCAAAAATTATTCTGAGACAAAATGCAAAGAATGGAAATTCCTACCTAATATCATATACACAAGCTAGCTTAAGTTGAATCAAAGACCTAAATGTAAAAGCTAAACTCACACAGATAATCAAAATGTGGCATAGCCATGCACAGTAATATTATTTGTTAATAAAGAATGCAATATTAATATATGCTATACTATAGATGAACCTGGAAAACACAGTAAGTACAAGAAGGTGGCCTCAAAAGGCCACATTTTATGACTCCATTTGTTAAAAATGTCCAGTATAGGAAGATACATAAAGACAGCAAGAAAGTAGATTGATGGGGACCTAAGCCTGAGGGTAGGGGTCAGAGGAAGATGAAGTGACTGCTAATAAGGATGGAGTTTCTTTACAGAGCAATGAAAATGTTCTAACATTGCTTGTGTGATTCTTGCACAACTCTGACTATATGAAAAATCACTGAAGCATACACTTTAAATGTGTGAACTGCAATGCTATATGGATATTTTGAGACAGCTGGTATAAAAATAAATAAATCTATAGAGAGATGAGAATTAAAGATTCATGGATGAACTTCAATTTGAGAGGAATCAGGAAAACAGACAAAGCAAAGCAGATCCCTGTGCAAATTAATTACTGAACAGAGATCAGAGATGCAGTCATATGAAGGGAGGGTGACAGGTGGGAAATGAATCCCCAGCTAGGCTGACTTGGTGCCAAGTCCTTCCCAAGATGTTCAGACCAAGGTTAAGGCTGTCTCCAAGCCTGGGGTGCAGCGCAGCTGATGGGAAGGGCCGAGCGGATGTGGCTGCAGAGGTGAGAGGGTGGAGGAGCCAGATACTGAGTGCATCAGGCCAGGGAAGGAGTGCTGTGCCAGGCAGGGGCCAGGCAGCTCTGCACGTCTCTCCAGCCTGCAGGGACATGGACTTCTGATCTTGGGCTCTGTGACGTGGAATCAGCTGCCACACTCAATGGGCACCAATTCAGAACCACTCCACTCTTCCTGTAGAGCTGGGAGGATGGGGCCTCACTCTGTTTGATATCCTGAAAGCACATCTTTCTGTTGGATCCCTCTGAGCTGGGGTGAAGGCAGGGTCTGTGCTGGTGCAGGGGTCCTGCAGCTGGCTTGGGTGGCTGTAATCTTTTATTTTTTAAATTTTTTTCATTCCTACACAGTTTATCAAGAAATGTAAAAAGCAAACACTATAAATGCAAACAAATGTTAAATGCAAACAGAGATAGTGAAAAACACAAAGAGTTAATTGGAAAGGCCATATCCAGAATTAAATTACAGTTTCATGGAAAAAAATGAGTTCAGACAAGAGAGTGTCCAGTTCCAGTCAACTGGTGTACTATGTGAAGCTGTGCTAAGCTGAAATTAAGGGCTAAAGTTATTTTTAAAAAGAATGTTAGGTTGGGTTATTATAATAAAATTATAGATCTTTAAGCAATGACTTTCTGGAAGAGGGAAGGTGAACTTAGACTCTAAATCAAGAACAGTTATTTCGAAAATAGTCTTAGTCCATTCACATGTAGTCATGAGGGTCGAATAATTGTCTTATCTCACATTCATATTGATATATATTTGATATATTTTTATATATACATATAAGACAAAAAAATTGGTGTGGCTTACCAAAAGATTAATTCAGGGTAATAAGGCAGTATTGTTTGGATCAAAAAGAAAGGAAACTTCAGGAATAATGAAAGTAGGAGCAGTCTTAGTTTCATCTCCTCCCTTCTCTATCTTAGCACTATACCCTTCCCATTCCCTAAACTACAAGGCACCCAAATTATCAGTTCATCCGAATAACGTATCAATGAAGTGCCAACTCTGTAATCAAAAGACATGGTTTTAAATTCTGATTTGGCCTCTTACTGCCTTTGTGACCTTGACCCTAGTTCACCAATGTGTAAACGGGATATAGTAATGATCTCATTAGGACATAAGAAAATTTAATATTTAATTCACATAAAGCATTTGAATCACTGCATGATACATATGAACTACTCAACAAATAGTACTACCAGATCAAAGGACAAAGACATCAGGGCACTGTGAAGTGCTCTGACAAATATTACTAATGCTTTGTTAGAGATTTTCATGAAGATAATAAAAAAATACTGAAACTATTTTCCTACCTTTAGGAAAAGATACTCTATTTGCAGCTGAAATGCTATGGTTAGTTCTAGTTGATATACCTCATATCAAGCACACGATTAAAGAATAAAAACCCAAATATTTCAGGAACATTAAGTGTGAGAAGGAAATATGACCAAATCAATGACTGGCAGCAGCCTGAACAGAATAAACTATTTTCATGAAATCTCAATTCTTAAGACGACATGATTCTTTGTGAAATTTGAAGGAGGCAAACTAAAGGCAAACAGTGCTATTTGACAATGCAGCAGATCATAAACACCCAAAATTTTTTATCCATAGTTTTTCCTCCTCTTTTAATCTCCTCTTCCCTATGGTCTACATTTTGTTTTTCACTTAAAAATAATTAAGCCATAATTCTTCTTTGTTACCATCGGCATCAGAGTGGATGACATCCCCAAACTTTGCCTCTGTGTAATCTAATCTGCTGTTTGATGGTTTTCCAAAAAATTTTGGCCTGGCAGGATCAAGACCTGTTATTCTTCCGAGTTCACCATGAAATATCTTCCCAACAAAACCACAGATATGAGTCCCTAAGCTCATACCTATGAAATGAAAATTGCCAAGAGACGCTCCCTGCCTCAAAAGGTTCTGAATGTACCTACTTAAAATCTCAGCAACTTTTCTGGTGTTTTTAACTGCTCTGTTGTAAATAAAAGTTGCAGCACCCTGGTTCCGGTCTACTACAATTAGATTCAAATCTTCTTTATTCAGCAAAATCCATACAAATTTGTGAAGCCATAATGGTGTGGAGTCCATTGGCCTGTATCCATGAATAAGCCAGACTGTTTTTTGGTGTTTACTGAAATTAATATTAAGCGAGTTATTTTGCTTAAACAGTGGCTCAGCACAGTTTAGGTTGTTCCTTGTATACAGCATCAGAATTATCTTTAACCTAGGAATAAACAGTTCTTTGAAGGAATCCTTTACATTTAGCTTAGAGAATTCAAGGCATAGTCTTCTCTTCTCAACAGACTTCCTAGAAACTGGTGTGGATTTTGATGAAAGAGAAAAGTATCCATGCCAAGTGTGCA